ATCTGCATACGAATAACAAAAGAAAATTGTACTGATTTTTGTCTTCTCGAAACATACCGCGAAAGTGAGCCCCTTAATTAACTTGTAATTTTCATCACCGAATAACAAACAACACCGCTTTTGAAATTACCACAAATAGATCACACAGAAAACAACAATGTGACATAAAAATGTCGCGTTCAAAAAAGTACATTACGTTGAAACATCGTTGGAACTCGTTGGAACACTTTTGGAGCATTTATGGAGCTCCGTGGAACACCGTTTTTGAGCCTCTCCAATCTAAGAAGTTGGAGGATGAACCGAATACAAATATTCATTGAAGTCCATCAAACTGTGTAAAATACCACGAAGAATTTATTTATAAAATTGGTATAACAGACAGAATATTAGATTAGCAGCAACGCATTCATCCAATGGATTGAGCAGTTGTAATGATGCACAAAAAAAAATGAAATAAGGTCGAAATCTTTGTGCGGTGATGTCAATGCCTAGCGTTTAACTTTTTTGTGTATTTTGCTTGCGCGCCTTCATAACAATAGCTGGGTTGTTTTTCTCCGTCTCTTCATGTTCGTCGTTTTTTTGCGTTCGCACAATAATCCATACAATGTGAATACGAATGTAGTGCGTTCTCGCGTACAAACATCCGTATTTTATGAGCATCAGCATTAACAGAAACGGCTGCCGCTGGATCACAAAGCACTAAATATTGAGCCAAGAGTAGTCGACGTGTTACGTCAATAAACCGAAAGCAGAAAACAGTATGAAGACAGAACTCACGAGAACATTGATCTGAAACAAATTGTTTGGCAAACATTCGCTTTTATAATATACAATTTTCTCGTTTCATTGCTAAAATATTTATATCCATAAATTTGCACGAGCAAACACTCGCATGATGCACATTCACATACATACACGAGCAAACCCATTGAGTCTTCATGTGGAACGAACAAGAGCGAATAAATGAAATGAATGACTTTTTTCTTCCTTCTTTCGTTGTTTTTTTGCTTGATGTTACTATTGTATCCTGAGTGAAGTTAAATGGCGAAAAATCAAGCAGAGAAATGCCAATTTCCACTCACATACATCCATATATTTCTTCATATATCGCAACGTACCGGTGTGGAATTACGGTATGAAATCAGGCATCTGAGCATATAGTAACCCAAAAATGTATTGAAAGCGGTTACAAACGGTTCCATTCATTTCATATCATTAAGATATAGATAGAGAGATGCGTAGAGTCATGGTTATAGAACGAACATTAATACTTCAGAATTGAATGATCAAAACGCTAAGGAATCGTAGCACATAAAGCAAAAGAAGACAAAAACAAAACAAATAAGCAGCAATGTCGATTTGCAAACAAAACGATAAATTGAGATGAAGAAGGAAGAAGAACTGTGTGTGCGTTTCCCACTAGCAAAATGCTATGAAGTACTTGAAAGAACGAACGAATGAACGAATGAACGAGCAAACCAGCGAATGATATGGTTATGCGTCACAGCATTCACAATAAAAGAAAACGAGATAATTTAATGGTTTTAACTCGTCCCAAGTCGAGTAAATTCGCTGGTGCCAAAATACTGATTGCTAAAACGAAAATGATCTTATCGAAAAAATAATATATGATTGCTCGTTCGTATGACAGACAAGACAGCACACACTCTTTATCTCTCTCGTTCTATCTACCAAATATCTTGACATTCGAGAGAAAAAAAACCAATAATATTTGCATTTTTTACACTTTACTTTCTCGAATTCTATTCATAACACTTGGTTTCACTAAAAATTGTCGCCCTTGACTCATTTAAAAAAGTATATCTCTCGTTCGCTGCAACCTATAGAAAAAATTTATAGTTGCCGCTATGAACACACGATTTCTCATGCGTACACTGCGTCATTCGGAAATAAAAAACCATGGGGACGCATGCATACGGCTTGCACGAAAAGATAACGCAGACAATAGATACACAGACACGATTTCTACCATATCATGGGCTTGTCACGATGCAATATATTAAAATAAAAATTTATGCTCAGGCATATAAACTATTTTTATGATTCAAACGCAAAAAAAAACATTAGTAAACACATGGGTCTTTGTTGGTGGTGTTGAACAAGGACAGCACGAAACCAATAGTTAAATGATATGGAAAATGTACTTAGAGTAGGAAACGCCACAAATACATACGCCACACAGACGACAGTAAAAAAAGTGTCGGAAAATTTTATTCGTACAAACACATATATAACGGCATTGTGGTGACAATGAGAAGAATAACAGCAAATGCTTCGGATGAAAAACAAGTGTGAATGGAGGCGTTTGCAGATCGATAATATTCGTATCTGTCTATGCAGTTAAGTACACACTATTTAGTCACCAGTGCCCACGCACGTGTGCGTTCAAACGCTGCTGAAAGATTAATTTCAATCTTAGATACTTATTCATCCGTTTTTCGACTACTCAGTGCAATTTGGCGTCTTCTATTTCCACAATTTCCGATCGATTCGGCTCAGTATCGGGTCGGTTGGATATATTATTTTTTGTGGGTTTACTCATTTACTTATACGTAATACTGTGTCAGCCACAACATGGTTCATCTGAAATATTTGATTAATTGACTTTATTTGCTCGAGACAAATTCGATAAGAACCTTAACAAACTGAATTGACTAATTTATTTGGTGATTCAAAGTGAATAATCTGTACCGTTCATTTGGGTCATTCGTTCACATATATTACGAGCTACTAAAAGTCAAATCTAACTAAAATATCATTGAGAAACAGCAAAACTATAGGAAAAATGACAACAAGAAAGTTCCATATCCATTTTCTTAGCCTAGTTTAAGTGGCATGCAAGCAAAAAATACCATGAAATGATATTTATTGAAGATATCGATTGGTATGCCACTCTGCTACCCAGCAAAATATGAAGAATTATATTTGGGCTCAAAACTTTTTCTCTAGTGAATTCCTTTATGCGGAATTTTTGAGTGCGACACTCAAGCATTTATTTTAATGCTGTGATGCGTAAACGAAAAAAATTCCGCACACATATTTCTGTCTATGGTTTCAGAAAATGTGAAAATGTTTACATGCGCTCCACTTTATGTTCGCTCTTTCTCCTTTTTCTTCACTCTCACACTCTCACATGGCTCGAAGAATGCCTGGATGTGTTGGATTATTCGTGTGAGTGTTCGAAATACAATAGAATTTCCACAAAACATGTAGGTAAACAGAATTGTGTTTTTCTCTGTCGCATCATTTGCTTCAGTTTTATGTATGCGAACTCATGTAGTATGGACGCATTATTATGCGTCAAAAATGTAAATATCCATTGGTAGAACAATGTGCTTTTGTGGATGCTGAAGTATAGAACCAATCTTATGACCCGGATAGGAGTGAAAAAAGTACAACCATAGGAAATAAATAAATTAAAATATTTTTTCCGTTACAAAAACAAAACAAAAAAGCAGCAATTCTTAGGTCTTGCTATCCAGGATATTGTATAAGGAGTGTAACAGAATTAACAGCACTACTAGACATTGTAACAGCTATATATATGTACACGTATATTTCAAGAGAGTTCTTCAACATACAATGGTGCTACTGTTGACGTTCACCGGAAAATATACAAATGGAATTGAAATTGACATTGAGCATATGAGCTTCATATCTTCCAAAAGTGAATACATCCAAACGTATATAAAGGTGTAAATAAATAAATAGCCGCTAAAGTACGAAACATACAAGATTTACGTGCACAACATAATTCTTATGCCTTAATTCATACCGCCTGTTATCGTAGTATACTGTGACCACCATAGAGAATATTCGATCTCAATAACCAGCATCAATTTTCCTAGCTGTAAAATATGTTTTGTGCAGTGATTCAATTTACCAACCAAAGACTCATTTTATATCATGCTGAAAATGTGAATGTCCTTTATTTGTTGCGACACTCAAAGTCTGGTTCCATCATTCCCATCAGGTATCTTGTATCTATTGGTTGAACGGTTGTCATCACACTCAATGCTCCAATAAAACGGGAAAATCATATACAAAACCACATAGTTGGAAAATGTCAAAGTAACTTGCAGCATTTATGGCAACCGCACTCGGTTGGTGTTTGCATAAGCTGAAGTGACATACATACACAAATACATAGACCGTCGAAACCGATACTAAGGTACTAAGGTACCCATCGTCGTATATACACAAAACTATATTATATGTGACTTCCATCATCTCCGTCACGGAGAAGCAACGGCATAAAGCAGCAATGAGAAGAAAAAAAACTCATGGAAATAATAAACCACATTCTCTAGTGGTTTCGTGAATATGAGCATAGTTCCGATGAGATCGAAAAATTCAGCACTGATTCTGTGCTGGCTCGCAACAAGACCATCGTTTCAAAATAAAAAAGTGTCGCTCTCAACCCGATACCTGAAGCATTGGAGACTGTTTGATATTTGTGCCGTGTTCCACGGCTAACGCAGCATGTGAACCGAATGCATTAATTTTTTGCTAACGTTATTGCATAATTTTGTATCTCCTGTAAATATGATTATGTGCGCAATGGTCTTGCTATCCAGGATATTGTATAAGGAGTTCACTATATCAACTTGCTTTATATTCACAATTGGGATGAGGTTAACCGATAGATATCCGACGACTCAAACCAAACATACAAAAACAGATTTTCATTTCAACGATTTTCGCTCCCATGTTTCGCTATTTTCTCTTCTATTCTAAAAATATCGCTCGAATGTGGCTGTGCTTGCGCTTGTTCAATCAGATCCGTACGTTTGGATTATTATTTATTGATCTGCTACTTTGTGGCATTTTGGTTTGAGCACTTGCCCGTGTTTCGATAAAAATTGTATTGGATGGCATGTTTACACGTTGTAAATTGCCTGTGAGGCAGGAACGAAAATATATTTTTGTATCTTTTTGTCGAAGACTTTATTTAACACTTTTCTTTTCCTTCATTTCAGGTTGAATCTCGTCAATATCCACACATCATGGACTTGGAGACAATCTACTGTAAGCTGTTGCACAATCGTGATCGTTCGTTTATACCATTAATCGACGCCGAACCGGTGCATTTCCTTTGCACTTATAAAACGCATTGTTTTGCGTTGTGTCATTGTTGCGACTTCGATGCATGTGATTGTGAAATGACGTGCCCAGCCAACTGTACTTGCTTCCATGATCAATCTTGGTCAACGAACGTCGTCGAATGCTCAGCAGCCGGATACGCCGAAATGCCAACCAACATCCCAATGGATACGACGGAATTGTACATTGATGGCAACGACTTTGGTGAGCTTAGTGAACACAGTTTCATCGGTCGCAAGAACCTCAAAGTGTTGTACGCAAACAATTCAAACATTCAAGTGATCTACAACACGACATTCCATGGACTTAAAAAGCTGACCACACTGCATCTCGAGGATAATAGAATTTTACGGTTGCAGGGCCAGGAGCTTAGTGCACTGGAGAATTTACGCGAATTGTATTTGCAGAATAATCGCATCTCGTTCATTGGAAACCGAACGTTTGCCGAATTACGTAAACTTGAAGTGCTTCGTTTGGACAACAACAAATTGGTACACTTTGAAATATGGCAGCTTACACTGAATCCGTATCTCGTGGAAATCGCATTGGCTGACAATATGTGGTCATGCGAATGCAATTACTTGCACCGTTTTCGCAATTACCTGCAAACAAATACGGAGAAAATCATCGACTCGAGTCGCATTGCCTGCATTTATAACAATTTAACGAGCGTGCTTAAAGATAAAAATGGCTCAAAATGCACACTCAAAGACGGTGTATCGACGATTGTAAGGCCGCAAGACATTGAAAATTTATTGCCACTCTTGCTAGCGGCTACGTGCGCATTTGTCGCTTTCTTCGGCCTGATCATTGGAATGTTCTGCTATCGCAATGAGCTAAAACTCTGGGCTCATACTCATTGTCTTCCCATGACCATGTGCTACAAGTCGGCGGCTTTCGTCGACGATTACGATAAGGATCGCTTGTATGATGCCTACATCGCCTACAGTTTGCAAGACGAACACTTTGTTAACCAAATTTTGGCAAACACATTGGAAAATGACGTTGGATACAGAATGTGCCTGCACTATCGCGACTTCAACGCAAATACCTACATTGCTGATACGATGATTGAAGCGGTAGAGAGTTCAAAACGTGCCATTCTCGTGCTGTCGCGGAATTTCTTGTACAACGAATGGTCTCGGTTTGAGGTCAAAAGTGCCATTCACGAAGTGCTCAAACGACGAAGAAAATTAATATTCGTTCTTTACGGCAATTTACCCCGTCGGGACATCGACGCCGATATGCGTATGTATTTACGAACCAATACTTGCATCGAATGGGATGATAAAAAGTTTTGGCAAAAGTTACGCCTTGCCATGCCACAAATTCGCAAGAATAACGGTCTAGCCAAACGATCAGCGGTCAACATTTATGCAACAGCCGCACAAAACTACAATACAGCCCAACGTCATCATACCGATTACGGTAGACATTTAACTAATTTAGACTGTAATAATTATGCAACGATAAACGATTGTGTAGCAGCCAGTAGTATAGGCTACGGTGCGACGTCCGCTAATCGCGACAAATACGAAGCAGTCAATTGCTACAGCACAAACGAGCGTCGACCATTGCCACCGCCCGTCTTGCCGGGCGGCAAATCACACCACCACCACCACGAATACGCGGTGCCCACGAACTGTAAAGACGAGTATGACTCTAACACCAATAACAGCGGGGCCAGCAGCAATAGTGGCAAACATCCATCTAAACATCACCATCATCAGAGCAGTAATAGCAGCGCAAGTACAGGTATTATCGGCAATAATATTGTATCAAATCAAAATTTACCACTCAGTCTGGCCGAACCAAACAGCTACAATACCAGTGCTAACAACAGCATTTGTGCTAGCAATTGTTGCAATGACGAAGAATGCTGCAACAACAAATGTGATTTAAATTGTACGCTCGACAGGCGATTACCGCAAGCGATGTGGGCTTAGTTTTAGGATCAGTTATTGAAAACTCGAATGCAAATACTAAAAAACAAAACAGAAATTAAAAAGGATTTTTTTTAAATACCTATAAAATGAAATTAAGTGGAATGTGAAAAGAGTCTGGGGTAGATGGCATCGAATGCAATGATCAAGCACCCGTTGCATACGTACACACACACATACACACATTTACCTCGGCACGACGTGATGCATTTTCCATAACAAGATTAGCTAGAATTTTAAGTAATAAATTATCCTATGAATGAATACCCAATTCTTTTTTATTCAAAAATGTTTTTTCAACATTCAAAATGAAACATAAATTGTAAATACTCGATTATATTTAAAACGATGAAATGATAAAATGAACTATGTCAATATAGAATTTATTTCGATTTAAACAAACACCTTCAAAGAAATCATAAATATTATTTAAGATTATTCTGATCGATATCTATCACCCGCACATAAGTAAAACTACAAAACGACACAGTTTTAAGTACTCGTCACAAAGAAGTAAAAAGTACCAGCCAAATTCAATTGCATAAACAATTGATGCGCAAATTGTTGTGTAATCATTTCAATAATTAATCGTTCAATGTTAAGTGAAATGAAATTTAATTGCAATAAAATTGAATCCTCTAAAGTAGATGTAATAAAAAACAACAAAAAGACTAATTAAATCCTAGGAATTTATGATTAAATATGAGGAAAGTAGCACAAAACGCCATGAAAATAACACACCATCTCTTTGGTGACGAGCTGACATGTATCTGTTGCGAAGCTAATGGTCGGTTTGTGAGATAATTTTTCTTAAGATAATTTATCTGATTGTAAAATATTCTATCTTGTTATTATTTCCTAGATTATTATTTGCAATGAATGCGAAAAGTAACAGAGATAACAGATTATTATAACGCCTAATTTTTTTTGAATTGATCTGCAGAAATGTTGAATAAAAAAGTACGTATACTTATTATATACGATAAAGAGAAATCGAAAAAAATGGTCGTTTTAAATGGGACTTATGACACAGTTTTTAGTTGTGTCTTGATTTATTTTTATTTTATTTTTCTTCATTTTTTAGTATAGCACCACAACTTAGATGAATTTCTCGATTTCACAATGAAACGTGGCCCAACAAAGGTAAAAACAATGGTACACAAACAGCAAGCATACTTGATTATGACACTTGCATAAACATAATCTAGTCTTGAATAACTGAAAAATATGTATAAAAAAGTTGCTGAAGAGAACACGCAATTGTAAAATGGATGGAGCACAAGTATTGCGGTATATGAATGGGATAAATTGATGATCATCTTTGAATAATGCACTTGTACTTTTTGAATTGAAAACAATAAATTGTGTTGCGTGTAAGAGCCAATGCGCAACCAATTACAAATAACTGAATGTTCACTCTTAAACAAAAAAATAAATGTTTGTGTGGTAAATACAATAAAACAAATCAAAGAAAAAACAAACAAGAAAACTATCAACTATTCATTATATAATTGATAACATAATAGCAAACAATCGAATGTCATAAATAACATGCGGGGTCGATAACACAGCCACGACGATGTCTAAAGCACATCCAATGTCAATACACATACACACAAAATATAAAGAAAGAATTCGATATTCCTTAACCACTGCCCGTTCGAATGAAGATCGATGAGAAAAGAAACCCAATAGAAAAGGTGAGATAAAGAGAATTAAATCAATTTTGATCTGCCGAAAGAAGAAGAAAAAAACATTTCATCGACAGCATAGCATCAATATTAATTAAGAATTATAAAAAAAAACTGTTGAATTTCGCAACACTCATCATCAAACTAAAGCAACCGCAAGAAAGATTCACGCTCTCATTCCTCACACAAACATATTATACATTCATACTGAAACATGACGTAAGCAAACGTAAACCCATCCGGAAAGGTTTATCACATTTTTATATTAGTGAATAACACATGTTAACGATCTGATTATCTATTTACAAACAAATTACTACATTGAAATTATACATATGCATGCCATTCTATTCCATATTCATTAAAAAAACACATTCATTTTATACATACACTTCTGAAAAGTGCGACGAAACGAACGACTGGAGAGAAATGGTAAAAATCAGAAGTTTCGCACACCAACCGTGTAAATGCAACACGAACCGCTTCCGAATCCATTGTCTTGTATTGTTTGATATCTTCATCCGCTCTGAAAAAGAGATGCCCATTTCTTCTAATTTATACGGGAACCATGCATTTTTTTGGATTAAATTGTAATTGTTCTTACCAATTGAATACAGTCGCTGATTGTCACTACATTCGTTTAGAGTGGTCAGAATGGCAGGGGAATCAACGCACTGAGTTTTACGCCTACATCCAATTCTTCAAAGAGATACATAAATATGAACTGAACTAGAACATTCATTCCATGTTCACAATGAATGCACGAAACGTTGCATCTTTAGCAGATAAATTCACTTTTACATAAAACGTACGTCGTACGGACATCTCTGTTAATTGATTCATTGATAAAATTACAAACTACTAATTATCTATCTAATGTGACATACCAATTCCAGTTGTCCTCTATCAACAAGAGAGCATTTTAAGATTTGGTGTCCGCAGTAATTGAGCGTACGTTTTTAGGTGTTAATGAAACGGTTTTGATAATAATTTATGCAATTTTGAATTTATGACCAATTGATTTTTTTCGACGAATTTCTATGCGGAATTCAATTGGAAATTTTCTTTTGCAAGAATAAGGAAAATGGGATTCGGTTTTTAGAATAATGTCAGAAGTCAGAATAAATACAAAAATCCAGATGTATTGTTGTCAGGTTCGAGTTCATCTGTTCCGACACATTAGCATATACCACACAATCACATAGAAATCAAATTTAGCCAAGAATTTTATGATCAAACTGAAATGATAGAAAGAAGTCTCTATATGAATAAATCATAAATGTAATATATTATTTACGAACCGATAATAAAAATTTATTTATTTTCCTTAATTCAATTCAAATAACTGGTGTGTTTCCCTTCCATTTTGTTTCGAATGCCAATTTCAACAGCTTTATTCGTTGGTGATGGCCACATTCTAAGTAGGCTGAAATCAGGTTTGCAATTGGAAACCCACATCAATAGGTGGGTCTCGTCGAGGTTTGTATCATTAAATTTAAATTTTACGTCAAACAATTTAGCTATTGCCCAAAAGTTTCAAATCCATTTTTGGCTCAACAGTGAATCGAAGCAGTTCGATGTCAAATGACAAAAAAAAATTCCTTTGCGAATACAAACAATTCATGACGAACTGTTTTGAGGAATTTTGTTCTTTTCATCACAACCAATAACTTGGTCGATACATAAAAGAGAAGAAACAATCTTTAATAATCGCTCTTATTCACATCATTCGACTTGTTCATTTTATTGCACGGTTCATTTCCAACCACATAAAAGATCATTCGGTTCGGTTTCGTTCATATATTGTAAATCTCTTTTAATTATATTACAAATTATGTACAGAGGTTAGCTTGCACATAGCCATCCAAGCAAATTTTCAAACGGCACTGAGAATTGTTGCCTAGTTACTTTTATCGCGTGGTTTGACCTGCTTTTTCATGCATTCATGGTCATGGTAAGATGAACAACACTGGTTTTGAAATCGGAACGCCTCAATGCATAGACGGTAAGTTAAATCTATTTGAACGTCGAGCGAATTGAAATGCAGCCGAAAAAAACTCTCTCCTTCAAAATAAAGGTCCTATTTGCATACCTATTTTCAGTAGGATGCCCACCGCACAGCAATAAGGTTATTTTTTATGCAGTGTGAAAATAAAATCACGTTAACTAATTTAACTTTTTCACGGTTACTGAGCGGCAACATAATTTTGGCTGGTCGAAAAGTTATGCGTCGTCCTTTTTTTCTTGTCAGTTTTTCCCGAATACATTAAAATATTTGTTTCTAACAATTTGATGTGAGGATGGACCTGTTTTGAGCTCAATAAAATTCGCACCAAGAGTATACTCATGGCTATAGCCATGCAGGACAAAAATTTTATGAACAAGCACTCGGGCTATTGAGCACCATCAAGCACCAAGTCAAATTACCAAAAAATTGTGCTCTGCACCGAATGGTGTAATATATTTTTAAATTAAATTTTATACTTTTGCTTTCACTTTTGTACCGATTTCACCGAATTCATCGGGATACTTACGCCAGGGTATTCGTAGGGATGCCCTGGATTTGAAATATTTGGTATATGGAATATATTGAATTGGGTTCGAAGAAATGCTTGGAATCGAAATATTTCGACGATTTTTTTGCACATTTCTTCTATCGTGTTTCTTCTGTTTTTGCTACTACATCAGTTGGTCGTTTTTGAAGCAGGTTTGTGTTTTTCGTGCTTTGCTCACGGCTATTTATCAACCTACGCAAAATGGAAGCAGATTTTGAAGAAGAATATGAAAAAATGAGTATCAAGAAGCGTTAATTTGAATCGCATTGAAAATAGAAGTGAAAAAATAGCACACATACACGCATGCATATGAAAAGGAAAGAATGGGTATGCACAAACTATTAGAAAGATTAACTTTTTTCTTCACTTCCACTAAATTTGATGTGGTATTCTCTCTCCCTATTTCTTTCTTTTCTCGTATTAGCTGAAGAAAATCCTCTAAAATAGTAGGAGAACTACTAAAATCGGCAAAACAACTGAAACTGGCAGTTATTGGCAAGACAATTATTTCGTAATTTGCATCAGTTGCGCGCAAAATACGTAGAACAAAATGCAAAATCCCCATGTGTAGTTGTTTCTCTTATTATTGTGTGTGTGCATTAAAAATGTCGATTTTTTTTTCAAAAAAAGAATGCAGGTATTAGGATTCAACTGCTTCTTAGAAATTTTTGACATTTTCGGTGAAAATTCGCTCAAAAATTGTGCCTCGGAAAACCAATTTTTCGGGGTATAATGCAAATTTTTCGATTCTGCTGTCGGAAATTGGTATATGTAACGATTAGTTATTGTCGAGAACGATCAAATCTAACATTTGGGATAAAAGGGATAGCTATATAGATAACTGTATAGTAAACTGTTGACATTTTTCCGCGCAACTTTTCTGTATTACATTTCGCTCCAAACTACTCGTATCTTCCCCACCCGCATACATGGCAAATCATCCATTTTCGATTGATTGATTGCGGTGCCCTCTATAATGACATAGAGCAACGATCAAAATATGGTTTTTTATGCTTGAGTCTATCGAAAAGAGCTCATTCTTCATAATCAGTACCCGATACAAAAATAATCTTTTTTTCACTTTTTGACTCGTCGATCTACAATTACAGGGTGAGAAAAAGATGATTATTTTGAATTTCAGAAAAATGGAACATACTAAAAAAGATAGTATTTCGACAGTACTTTAACATAAGAGTAGACAGTACTTTAACAACATTGGCCGATGTGATATAGTACTAGTTATGTCATCTGGTGAAAAATCGACATTAATTATGCACACACCCAATACAAAATTATTATTTCATTTAAAGAAGTTTAAACCCTAAAGTGTTTACATTTCTTGCCACTACATGCAATTCGAAATAATGGCGCCAGTTTCTACTTAAGGGGATTTCGCCTCTTCTTTAATATTTTTTTAAAATTTTAATTTTTGATTCATAACATTTATTCTGGATACACTTTGAATCCTTTATGCTCTGTTCTTCATATTTCAATGAGATTTTCCGTTGAAATTGGCATTGTAGGTTCAGACTCTATTGTGAACTTGGTTTAAATTGACACGGCCTACGCTATCTTTTGGTTTCTTTCCATATACACATAGTGAACTGATGTTACAAAACATCGATCAATAATTAAAAGAAAGATGGTTTCAGTACCTAACCGCCACTGTTCCGTTATCGTAAATTTGAAATAGAAAATATGAAATGAAATGCAGGAAATTTATTGGTGCTTGAAAAACAAATAAATCCATCTGCAAAGAATTGATGCGAACAGGTGCGACCCCATTTTTAATTAATAATTTCATCATATGACAGCAAATAAACTTATGAACAAAATCGACAGAGGAGAAGTAATTTGAAATTTGTAATTTGTCGCAGACGAAAAATTGATCTATTCTTCGTGCTTGCGCACGAAAAGTTCTTAACGTGGATAGGCATTTGCTTAACAAAACGAGATAAAGCGGAGTTGAAACAACTGAAAAAAGGAACGAAATGACAGTAAACCATAATAATTTATCTCTCATTAATCGCATTTATCTCGTCGTTGTGGCGACCGAATATCAAGAATGAAGGAAAAAAAACGAACCTTAAATTTCATGTTTCCAAAAATAACACGAGACGTATACTGAGGATAAAGAACAGAAAATTGAAAAAAAAAGAAAAATAAAATCCTCAATTATTTGACAAAACCAGAAAACGCATAAGCTATGAGCGAGAGGTTAGAAACCAAAGAACAGACACACTAGCTGAGTTGTCGAGAGATTGGGAGATGAGCAAGAAGCAGAATGAAAAATAACGAATCTATTGGAGGCAAAACGATTTCGTAAACAAATACCTTGGAAAAAGTGTGCGCAAGGGGGGCATTGATTTACTAGAAATCGACGGAGACAACGACAGAAATTGAAAATGATCCATCCGTACGAAATCACGGTGTATCAAACGAGTTCTATTTCAACGAAGAGAAAATAAATTTTATCGAAAAGAATATAAACAAAAGACGAACGACAGCCAAGACAACTATATAAAAAAACGGGCTACAACAAAAACAACAACGGCGAAATTTCCAACAGCCGACACAAAAGGAGCAATATAGCGATTGAATACAAAAAAAGAGATGTACGAAAAAGGAAAAGAAAAGAAACGAAACGAAACGTATACTCGGGTTACATGACTGGAACAAACACAAAAAGTAAAACAGAGTGCCCAAACGCACAATCAAGATCTATTTACGCGAGACACCGTGCACAGCGTACACACATACAATATATCGTAACATTTAATCCCTGAAATCGCGCTTGCTTGCTGGCTGGCTCACTCAGGCTCACTACGTATGAATTCCGATTCGTATGTAACAAAGCGTTGTCGTCGACGTCAAATCGTAGACACGCAGAAGTAACATAACAACAACGCTTGGTGCTGGAATAGAAAAAAAAACGCTATAAATGCAGCTAAAGTGATTAGAACAGAGATTCTGAAAGATTTTGTACTGGTGATAAATTAGATTGAAAATAATGACATGAAACACAGTTTAAGTGAAAAAAAAGCAAACACTCATACACAGAACCGTGCTCAATTTTCATTCTACAAATAACTTAATATATATAGTGCACCAAAACAATGCACGCGTTCAGCTGTAAAATGGAATCAGCACCAGCGAAAAAATAGTTCAAATTTATCTGAACGCAAAATCTAGAGTAAAAAAGCTAGCATGCTAATGATAACGAATAACCGAAGATGGAGGTCGAATGTGTGGGTGGTACTATCATTTGCTACGAAATTGTGACATTGCAACGAAAGGGAAATTGAAAGTATCACAAGAGCATTCAAAACTATTTATTTTAAATACCCTGGAATCGTAATATCCGACTTCGAATCACACTTCTACGTTCGGTCGTTTCGTTACGATTTTTAGTTGATATATTCAATTAAAATCCTCGTTTTAGAATGGCTCCCGAAAATTTACGTGAACACGATTTTCAATCACAGTCATTTCCGAATATACTAAAAGAAAAATCGAAACTAAAGATCGAAACTAAAGGTGAATAAATGGTCGATAATAACAAGAATATAGTGGCGAAGCCATTACGGTTACAAACATAAAAAAAGGTTGTTGTGTGTTCAACTGAAGATTATTCAACCTGAATAATTATAGTGTTCATTTTTTGTTCTGTTTTTAGATCCATAGAAAAGCCCGAGAGTGGTAAAAGGAAGACAGAAATACAGAAATACAGAAATAGAACAAAATCAAACTGAATATCAATAAATACCGTGAAATGATCATGAGAATG